TTATTATTATTATTATCCTCATTTAAGTGTGCAAAGACTGCAACAACTATAACAGTTAAACTGGTAACACTTTGCTATAAACCCATTTGTAGCATTTATAAACAATAACCACTTATAAGATAGGCTAGAAAGATTTTGATGTCTGTACAAATATACAGTGCTGCCCCTAGAAGAGTTTTTCAGTTTTTTTTTTATTTTTACCACATCTAAACAACTCAATAACATCTAAAAAGCTGCTTGTAATGATGATTTCATGATTAGCGAAAGAAAAACTATCTAAACCAAAATTATAGGAGGTCTGCAATATTTTAGATGTTGTTTTGGGTTGTTTTTGTGACCTCTTGGATGAATCATAGATGCTCTCTTGAAGTAATTTTGGTTCACCAGCGTCAACCAAAACCCTAGAAATGTCTTTCTAATACTTTCTTGCTTTTTGCTGTCTGTAAGGTTACATCTAAGAGACTTCATCATTCTGGCAGAATTCAGCCTGTAATTGAAATTAGCCAAAAAAGATTGTTTGATCACACTTAGTTCATGTTTACACCACTGTGGTGATTACTTTTTCACACAAAGCTGGGTTGGCTTATAAATGGCTTTGTTCTGTAAATGAAATAATTATTTTTAAACAACTATTTGTATTTATTCAGCTGTCTTTGCATCAGCCTCTATTTGATGACCTGAAATATTTAAAATGGACAAAACCAGAAAAGAAATATGTCAAAAACTCAACAGCACTGTATTTTTGCTTTGTTCTATTAAATAAAATATCCCTGTGGGTTTTACGGTTGATTAAATATAAATAGACAGTAGAATATAAAGAACTATAAAAGTATAAAATAAAAACATCAGTTTTACTTTAAATGTACTATGTGTTTTTTGCAGCTAAATTATGAATTTTAAAGCCAATTCCTGAATGTTTATGAATTTCTTTTAAATGCTCAAACAGACAGAAGTCAAAGTGTTATCAAGAGTCCCCTTCATTTGTTCCCTGTTAGCCTTGAGGATCAGTTACAGTGAATGTAGCCCGTGCAGCATTACTTGAAATGAGTCACCATGCAATCGTCTAGCCACTAACCTGACAGTTTTTCATGTTAATGAATAAAACACTGTGCAAATGGGTAAAGAGACATTCACTGTAAATATTGTTTCAGAAGCATAAATCAGGGGTTATTTTGTGGTTTCAGATTGCTGTGTAGTCAGTTCAAGGATGAAGTCCAGATGCTTATTCTAAAGCAGTAGGTAGCGTTACAAAAACTAGAGTGAATTTGATGAGAGGAGTCTCTCTCCCTACCAGTAGCGGATCCCCTAGTAGCCCCACCCTCCCCTTTATCCTCCCCTTTCTCCCAGCATTGCCCTAAGCTCCCAGCAGCTTCTTGACAAGGTAGCCTGGCATGCTGTAGAGGAAGAGGCCGATCATGATGAGCAGCAGCAGGGCCAGCACGATCTTGATGATCAGCCACTTGTAGCGGTTGCACACCAGGTAGCGGATGGCTTTCAGCGGGCTCAGGAACCACAGGAAGGTGGTGTCTGGGCGACTGGAGGCAGGTTCGATGGGATGGAAGTGGGAACGTTGGAAACAACATGCAGGTGGAATGGGCGGGTTGGAGGAGGAAGGGGGTAAAAAAGGGATAATGAAGATAATGAAGAACACAATGAAGCACAGGGGCAGAAATGGGAGAAAGAGAAAGCCGTAGTTAGTGCACTGAACGCAATGCTGCAGTTGTGAGTCGTTTAGGTTACTCACAATCTAATGATTCAGAGGAACAAAAGCACAAATCACAGTCAAAGCTTTACAATAATGGTTGGTAAAAATGGGTAGATGGGTGGAAAAATGCACGGATGACTGAGCAACAGCTCCAACAGCTGGCATTGTTTCTACACGCCTTACTGGCAGCTAAACAAATGCAGACCAACACACCCAAAAGAGAGCTGATTCAGTCTAAATAATTGCCTTTTATAACTTTATCTCATAATCATCATAAAAAGCTGTTAAATTCACTGCTTTTCAGTAACAAGTGTTTATTTATCATTATGTTGAAATGAAATAATCTACAAAATAATTCAGTTTAAGGAGTTAAATGTTTTTCAAGTTTGTGACCCTGCAGTGAGCAAGGCTTCATAAGAGGCAAACATTTCATTTTGCTTCTTACAAGCAGTGCACATTTCAGTTAATACTCCAAAGTCAGACGTGCAAATTGAGACAAATGCCAAAATTCCGTCACATAGTTAAATATTAGACATGACAAGTTTGGAAGGGTTCCCAGGATCTCTTTAAAGAAAATTGCAGCACAACTTAGGTTTGCAAAGCTGCATTTGAATGAATCCCAATACTAAGGTTAAACCAAAGCAAAGATTTTTGGCCAAAATCCATGGCACCTAATAAAAAGCAATACCCAGGTTCCTTCACTCCAACTGTAAAGCACAGTGGAAAATGATTTGAGCTTGGTTTGCTGCCAGAGAACATGTGGACTTTGCATCTTTCTAATAGCAGAAGTATGGCTGACATTTGGTCAAGAAGGCAGGAGAGCTATCCAAACAGAAGAGTCCATTCACAACAACGTAGGAAACTAATAAAATCATTTGTAGGTTATTGATTCTTAAGTTGGTTCTAGTAGTTATTAAATTATGGGGCTTACTTTGCTTTTCACAAATGACTTTTCTATTTTAGTAGCAATATTAAACCTGCTGTCTGTTTTGCTTACTTGTAGTTAAATCACAATAATTTTAGAGTCAGGTATGTCAAAAACCCAGAATTAATAGGGTGCACTTTCTTTTCGCATAAAAGAAACCTGAGAATACTTTTTATTTCGCAGAGGAGCATCCTTACAAACCAAACTCTTTTGTGACCCTGAAACACTCCACTCCTTTTCATGAACCATTTATCCAACACTTTACTTAAAACACCTGTTCCAAATCAGTCAGGTGGCTACACATGAGATGTACAATGGCACTTGTTGACAAGAGACACTGAAACAAGAGACAAGAGACAGTATGAGTGAAGACTGATCTAATTCTAAGGTAGAGGGAGACAAAAGTTGGAGACAGCAGAGAAAACAAGACAAGAGGAGATAGTAAAGACAGCTGAATCCATCAGAGACAGTGAAGAGGGGGCAGAGGCTACCAGCGCATCAGGCCCCCAGGATCTTCTTGACAAGGTAGCCAGGGATGGAGTAGAGGAAGAGGCCCAGCATGAGCAGCAGCAGTATCAGCCCCAGAGCCTTGAGGATCAGCCAGCGGTAGTTGTGCCAGATGAAGTAACGAAGTGACTTCAGAGGGCCCAGAAACCACATTAGACTCGTATCCGGGCGGCTTTTCAAAAGAAAGCAGGGGGAGGAGGAAGGACAGGAGCGCCGGTGAGGCAGAGAGTAAAGGGAGTAAAGGGTGAGTTGTGTGCACAAAAAAAGAGGGGAAGGGACGAGGGGAGGGGAAGAGACAGGGACACAGTTGAAGACATGGTAGGAGGAGAAACGAGTGTGTAACAGTGGCCTTTTTAACAGTGCAGAAAGCAGTGTTGGTAAAAAAATAAATAAGAAAAAAATCATCTGGAATTTGATTTATGACACACTGCTTATTGCACATCATGAATGAATGTCCAAAAAAAGGAAGGCTAAAGAGACCTTTGAGTGTAGTTGCAGAAAAGGATCCACACACTTTCTAACTGGAAAAGCCAGTGTTTGTACTGTATTTGTAAAAAAAAAAAAAAAAAAAAATTCCAATGAATTTGAGTCTTACTTTGGTTTCTCCAGTGGGTCCGGCTCATTTCTCCCCAGTCCCACAGGACTTTTCTCTGCTTCCTCTGCAGTGACAAGGTGAAGCTCAGCCTCAACTTTACCCTGAAAACACAACATATATATTTTTTTCCTTTTACAAATATGGATAATAATTTTAAAGTATTTTACAAAAAAATGGCTAAGATATGAAAAAAGACTTTTTAGAAAATCTTTTCAGAAACCCTTCTTTTGCCACAACCATTTTCCACTTTAATAGTTATTCTATCCTCTCTACCTTCAATTTTCCATTTTGGTTCACCTATAGTGGCTATTTGAAATAGAAATAGAAATGCCTATTTCTAGCTATTACTTTATGAAGTCTCTGTCATTTCTGAAGACGATGATGTTCTTACTGTGAGCTCCATCTCGTCGTTCTCATCACGTGCCACAAAAGGCCACCAGCCTTTGACCCTTTTCTGCTTGAAGATAGAAATGGTGGGAAGTTCTTGTTCATTTCGGATCATGTCGAGGTTGCACTGCTTGGCTGTCTTTGCGCCGCGGGGGAACCTGTTCAGGTCCAGCTCAATAGCCCCTGGAAAATGGCGATATGAACAGCAGTCAGATGTCACTCTCAGATAAATTAGTTTGCAGGAACAAATATTCCTGCCCCTTCAGACTGAGTAAAATCCTTGGGTGCATCTCTTGAGTAAGTCCAGAGAGTTACGTCTAAACATATCCCACTCCAACAGCAAGACTGAAATAATGTCCCAACAGCATTTCAATCTAAAAAGTCAAAGCATGACTCGGTGCTCTACAACTTGCTCTAATAAAAGAGAATAATCATCAGCCCTTACCGAGAAAGTCATCAGCAGAAAAGTGGTCGGCGTCCCAGACCTGCATCGTGAGACGAGGAGGGATCTTGTATTCAGTCTCGTCCCAGGAGAACATGGACTCTTTCTTAGAGATGATGATCTTCTCTTCAGCCACAAGGTAATCGAACGGGAAGACGAAGCGCCAGTTGAAGTTGCCCTCACCAGTTAGGGAGTGGTAATGCACGTCTGTGTCCTGTTTGTCTTCCTGCTGCCCTTTCAGCCATCTTTGGAAACAGTGAAACGAAAAGGAGTGAGGCAGGTCTCCAAAGCAGTATGACATGTAAACAGATTTTGCTGTTTGATTATAAAGATCATGCATGTAAAAACTTGCAACAGTTGGTTAGTACATCAGCTTAGTGATTGGGATAAAATTTGTTGCGGTACTTGACAATTTAGATTTGTTAAATGAACCAATCCAATACAGAAGGTAGAAGAAAGGCAATTTTAGTAGTCTAAAATCACAGCATGTGGCTCCTAAAGCTTAAATCAGATTTAACGTCTTCATCATAGTGTCAAATATAGTCAATAAAAAATTTCAATTTAAAAATTTGCTTAGGAAGGTGTATTTAAAATATTGTTTGACAAAATTAAAGCTTCAAATATAAAAGTAGCTGTTTTCATTAACAGTTGAGTGAGACTGGCTTCATGAGTCAGGGGGGCAGAAGAAGAGCTGCTCTCTCAGTTCTCAAAAACACCAATAGGTAGATCAATTTTCTGCCATCTTTGAAGAATCTTGATGAAACAAAGTGGTTTGATTTGGTAACTGAGATGCTTATAACAGGCTGGGCAATAGGTGGAGGCGAGAAACAGCACCAGGAAATGTTATTTCGGATAAAGTGGGAGGTAACCTTGCTTACATCTGAAACATCCAGGGTTCCAACACATTTTCTGTTTGAAGATTTTAGACGTTTCAAGACTTAAATTTTATTCCATTTTCTCTCTGTGTTTAAAGTGTAACTGTAAATATTTAATTGGATTTGATTTTTTTTGTTGTTATAGTGTGTGGGGCTTAGAGTTATTAGTAGCACCAGAGATGCAGCATCCCGTGGTTAAACATTAAACTATATAAACATGCCTCTGTTGGCAGTGATGGTTTCTCATATGGGTGACATCGTGACAGGGGACGGCATAAATGCTGCAGGTTATCCCCGAGTGTCATGACTTTCATACTTAATATTGAAATCATAAAAACTACAAATATTTGTGTCACAATCACAGTTATCACAAAAAATTACATTATTCTCAAGGCAGTAAACTCATAATCTTAAGAAAAATCAAACTAGAACAAATCCCGCTTTTGTTTTCCCTTCATTTTTTTTTCTTATAATTACAGATTTTATTTATTAAAAATGCCACCAAGAGTTGACTTTCTTTCTTCAAACTTAAATCCATACATGATGGCAATTCCACTGTCCCAGTCTGCATTGGAACCCTAAACATCACAAGATGTGCTTTTGTTATATCTACGATGATTTTGCTTGGCCGGCTGCTGAAATGATTTAGGATGTTACACTGTGTGTTACGGTAAAGTCAAGGGGCAACGGATTCAGAGGTGAAATCAGCTGTGGTAAAACCGGCTATTGTGAAGAGTGGCAGGAGTGAGGAGGCAGCAAAAATTACATAAATTATTTCTTATTTTCAAATCCAGGCTGCAGAAATGACATCATTCGAGCATGCATACAATGACCAAGCACTTTATTAGGGACACATGGAAAATGTTGCTGGTTTCCTTAAATAAGAAGATGAAGAAAACTTTTAGGCACTTTGACTGTTGATTGAGCAGAGCTAATGTGAAAAATTGGCGGTTTCTAACTGCATTGTGAGAAACAGTACTGCAGGAGGAAATACTTGATTAATGGTGAATGACTAAACTGGTTGAGGCAAATAATTAGATTTATTAATCAAGACAGCAATTAAAAAAAAAAAACAGGATGTAAGCTAAAAAATATTCTGATTTCCAAATTTGCTTTAGAATTCAAACATTGAAACAAAAAGTCAAGACTTTTTGCAGATAAAATATACCTGTGTTTACATATGAGTATCATTGTAGAGTTTACCATATTGCAGTTTCTACGTAAAGAAGGACTCTTGAGGTATCAGTGCAAAAGTGATACATCAGATCTCCTTCATGTCCATCAAGATAGTTGTAATTTTTATTTTTAAGCAGAAAAAAGAGGTGCCCAGTATGAACATGTTGCTCCAAATAAAGTGCCTGGTGAGTGTACAAGAAAGTATGCTTCCATGCAAAACATTTTTTCTTTTTCAAATTAGAAAATTAAAAATCCCCTTAAATATAGCTGCAGTAGAGGACCAAACCACTTTAGAAATAAATAAATAAATTAGAGCAGATATATCCCCACTTGATTCTGGAGTGAAATTCAGGCTGGGCTGAAACATTTCACACAGCTACTCTGCAGCTTGATCAGAGTTCAGACTGTCAGACAATTGTTGTTTTGGATGCACTCTAAAGGGAAATGTAACAATATGCCAGAGTAAAAAAACAAAACAAAAACTTTTTTCTTCTTTGACTTCTGAGATTTTGCTGCAGTCGTTATGAAACTTCATGATTTATTTTTTTATTCTTAAACTAAAAACAACTTTTCTCAGACAGCTAAGGGCAAAGATATTATTCTACTTTAATGCATGTATCTGGCTGGATAATCTGAAGTGCTTTCGGGAATGAGTGTGTGTCAAAGGTTGTATGTGTCTAAGAGGCTCCATGATGACCTGGTGACCTGACAATACTACAGCCGCCTACTGACACTGTAAATAATTAAGCTTGTAAAAATTATACAAATCTAGGTGCGTCACAGTAGGTTTAGTTTGCGTTAAATTACTCTCTTCTTAATGTAAAATGTCAACATGCATCGAGGTTTGGTCCTTACTGCAGTACTTTTTCAGTAGGAATTGCTTTTTGTTGTGTTAGAAAAAGTGGTTGCAACAAGCAATTTTGCGTGCGCCACGTAGCTTTACAGCAGGAAGAGTCACAGAGAACTTAATCAAGGTATTTGGGAGCAGAGAAGCAAGGAATTTCCGCGAGCCATGCGATGGAAAGGTGTGTTTACCCCCTGACATAGATGTCAGACATCTTCTCTCCTGTCAAGAAAGCATCGTCCTCTAGAATTACGTCATCAGTGTTCCAAATAATAACACGGAGCTCAAAACTAGACACCGGCGGAGTTTTAACCGGAGAGGAGAGAAAAGACAACAGACAGGAGACACGCCACAAACAACAGAGACGTGACACAATCACGCACACAGAAAAAAGAAAAGATGGAAACAAAACAAAAAAGAAATAATGGTTAACAGTAAAAAACACATACAGCTCACACCCACGGGACGAGGCCAGGCTGCCTTATCCCGCCGTACCTACCCCCTCACAAATATGTCACTGGACTTTTCCCCAGTGAAGTAATCATCGTCTTCCAGTATTACTTCATCAGTATTCCAAATAATCACCCTGAGCTCATATCTAGTAAGAGGAGGAGGAACACATACAAATGTAGTTGCACTTATGTTTAATGTTAAAATTTACATACAAAAGCTGCATTTGACACAACTAGTAAAAAAAAAAAAAAGAACTCACCTGAATTTAAGCTGGAATAAATATTGTTCTGTTAAATACTTTGAAAGCCCTAAATAAATCTCTTTTTGACTGAATGGTCATCAGGACAATAATAAGAAGTAGAATTTATAAAAATTCAAGGTAACATTTGTTTATTGTTCTCAGCACCTACCTCTTTGGTTTCCGTGGTGATATGTCAATTGCAGGCCCAGGAGCGGGCATGTCCATCGGAAACATGTCCACCCACATCTCAAGTCGGCCCTTTAATAGAAGAGAAAAGGAATCTGTAACGACCAGAGTGGTTTTATTTACAGCCTAGGACCAATCGATTCAATCCCACCTGTTCGATTCCAGGTTTGTCCGGGTTCAGAAGAGGTCTGGTCTCCACATGTTCGGGAACGAGCTTGCAGCCGACTCTAGGGATCTCCTCCCAGTGGTTCAACACGCTCAGGGCTAAATGCTCCTCCGTTTGCTTCTTCAGACCTGCACGATCAATGCAAATGCGAAAGAACAAACTGAAGAGCGAAAACGCTAAAAAGCTGAAAATCGCGCACAATTTTAAGACAACACGCTGAATAATGTTTGAATTGTAATTCTGAATATTGCACCAAGCAGTTGTAGAAGTACTTCCATTGATCTCACAATTTTAGAAGAGAGATTCATTCTTACCATTTTCATCCTCTATTTCTGTTGCTCCAGTAAAGATTCGATTTGCGACTTTGACTTTGCCTCCCGGCCCATAATGAGGTCCATCAATCTTCCCTTCCTTGCAGAGCTTAGCTAGGATCTGGCTGGGTTTCATAGGGTCGCGCCAAATGTTGTAACCATGCCTAAAGTCAACAGATAACAGATATTTTTCAAGCTATAAACTCTAAGATTTTGGGCAGAGACCACTTTTTCAACCTGGGTGCAGGGGTTGCAGTTACTTTTCACAAATTTAACTTGTCTAAATATTTGCAATATGGGGAAAATCCACCTATTTTGAAATAAATGCACGTAAAATCTTTAATGAACAACGTTTCTAACTTTTGTTACTGAAACCTGTGTTGTGCTGTAGCAAAAGCACTAGCTTGTGTGTAAGCATAAATGACAAATTGAGTTTTGTTTTCAGGCCTGGTCTGTTAGCTTCTAAGCTAAGATCTTCAGCTACTTTAGGCTTTACTGTTCTAATAAATTACTGTGCTAATACATTTTACATCTGTATTCCATTTTCTACGTGCAAAGAACTGACAACTCCAAACAGCTGAAGAAATAACTCACAGAATAAAGCATACAGCTACTCACATAGAATAGTTGGACGCAATGCCACACGTGGCTCTGAATTTGCTGTAAAACCGATTCTCCAGGTCAATCTTCGTTTCTCCAATCAGGTCGTCTGTGCCGACCAAATCCCAGTCATACACAGACACTGTCAACATCGACTCCATGGGGAAGGTGGCTTCAATGTCAAAGGATCTGACCGTGAAGAAGCAGATACATACTGATGCATTAAAAAAATGCAGAGTTGGGAAAATAATTTAACTATGTCTCACTTCTACCATTTGACTTCAGAAACTACAAGGGGCTAAAAGTAGCTTTTTCTCCACTCACTTGCCAAACACAGGGTTGAGCTGCTTGGAGATGTAGTTCTCTTTGTCTTTGACTTCTGATTTGCCCAGCTTAATGACGACGTATGGATCGGCCTTCCCATTGATATCAGCTGGATGAAGGTCTGTGGCCTGAGAAAGTAAAAAGAAAATTCATTTAAAATGTCTTCTGCATTTTTAAATCGCTCTTGGATCGATTCCAACATCAAGAATGTCACCCACCCTGACCACATAGACCCGGACAAGAACGTGGATGGGGTCGTTATGCGGAATGCTCTGGAACATCCCCATGTTGGGATCATACCCAGCTTCTCTTGTGATCTCCTGAGAAAGTGGTACTTTGTACATACATAAAGAGCCCTGGGTCACAAAGAGATAGACAAATTGTGAGGAAAATGACCCGAGTCAGCAAAGTTACAGACATTTTCGCTCAGAGAGGCAACTTTAGACATTGTATGTTGTGTGGTTCAGAGTCAATTTGTGCATATAAACCATTTGTTTACCAGAAATCCTTCAAGAATTTTGCAATCCTACTTAGAAGTAAGCAAGTTCTTTAAATATTTTGAGGGCCTTTAATTCAAACTTCTATTCAGTCATAATAAGAGATGTATAAATTAGCTGAATCCTGGAAAACAGAACAGACACTGAATCTGTTTCTATTCTCTAAGAGTAAAAAACAGTCTTACTTTGACCTTATTGAAAAAATAAAAATTAATCAAGTCAATAGTTTATTGAATCTAAGCGTCTTTCTGTATGCTTGGTTGGTAGGCATGTTGGTAGGCACTGAGTTCGATCATTATGGCAGCAGCGTCCAAGCTGGTTGAGTCACATATATTTCCACTCTGTGTTCCTACCTTGAATCTGCCTACAATCCTGTCATCATCCAGGGCGTGTTCGTCATCATCTCCCGCTTTTCCTCTGTACAAGTTGAACGTGTGAAGCCAATCCTCAAAGTTGCCATACTCACTCTCCAGCTCTCTGTTGTACACCTGCATGAGCCAGACAGCATGAAAAATTCAAACGTACTTAGCTGTTTGCTGGCTTGCCGCCTGAGAAACTCACCACTAGCTCATCCACTCTTGCTTTAGGGGGCCGCTTCTCTGAGCCGTCCGCAGCTTGACTCCTCTTCTGCTTGGAGCTCTTCTTCTCTTTGAACCTTTCTTTCATTTTGGAGCCTTTTAGGTGGAGGTCGTCGGGTCTGATATCTGATCAGAATGAGAAACTTTTCGGTTCAAATGGAGTCACGAAGAGGATTAGATGTAGAAGTACAAAACATGTTGCGTTCGAAGCATATCGCCGTTTTATCATAAAAAGTACATTTCCCTAAAATGCTGAAGTCAGGTGATATTACCTGCTAGAACATAAAACCAGAGGATATAGACATCCGAGCCTAGAGCAATACATATTGAAGTGTCACACTGACAGAGTTGGTGGTAAATATATGAGTCTCTGTGGCAAGATTTGAAAATCGATGTTTTAAGTAAAACAAAACGCACTGAAGTTTGTGTCTGTAATGTGACAAAATTTGAAAAATGAGAGGGTTGTAAAAATATTTCCCCTGCAAAAACAACCAATGATGGAGAATCAGAATAGCCCTCATTGTTCTAAACAAAAATTAAAGGCAGAAAATGTGCATAAATATGTCAATATCAAAGATTTAATATTTGTCGTATATATCCTGTAAAAGTCAAACACCTGCTGCCTCAGCTGCTATCTCGAGGTCTTCTCTCTCCTCTGCCTCTGCTTGAGCTGCTTCCTGGGATCTGAGGTTCTAGCAGACCAGCGAAAAAAATACAGAACAAGATTAACATCAGAAAAAAAAACATAAAAATGAGTGAACAGAGCTGGAAAGAACAGACTATACAACCTCCTTCAGCGTCTCAATGGAGGCAAAATACTTGGACCACCAGTCCAGCACTCGCTCATCCGTCTCTTCCTCCTCCTCTGCTCCTCCCTTCTTCTTCTTTTTCTTCTTCTTTTTTTCTTTGTCACTCTCGTCTTCGTTCTTGAAAAAGTCACAAAGACATGAATTTATTCCAGATTGTTGTTGGTTTTTCATTCAAGGCTCTGAAACAGTTTACTGCATGCACTCCTGAGCTCATTGGCTGCTAAATGTCTAAGGGGAACTACTCACCATGTCAACTTTTACAACAGCATCAGACATCTGGGCGTTACATAAAACAGCACAAGGGTTAATGCACAATGGGTGATACAGGAATGAACAGCACAAATACAACGACAGGTAAAAAGCATAGGACAAGCAAGGGTAATACTTCTGAGGTCTAAGGAAGTGCATACAGGACAGATATACATGTTTATTTATTCAGCTTGAAGACAGGACAGAAATCCTTACAGCATCCAACTTGACAACTGTGTCCATCTTTCGGATTGGGGGCTCGGCTTCTAGGCTGACGGAGACGTCACCTGCGGGACGAGAGAAGGTGCGGGAAGAAAGGCTGGGTGAGGAGCGAGCTTGGGAGCAGCCATTGGTTAGAACCATGTAGCCATTCATTAGCTTAGCTGGAGGGAAGCCGATGATGAAATACAGCAGCAGCAGTGGGCAGGAGGAAAGGACAATACAGGAGGAGGCATGCAAGAGAGGAACAAGACAAGAAAATAGAGGTAAGATATCCACAAGAGGGATTTTGAGGAATGAAAGTAAGCAGAAAAAGTCATTAAAACAGAGACACGAAGTTGAATCAAAGTATGCTATTACTTATTGTTTTATTGAGTATAAAAATGTCAACTTGGAAATACAAGAGGAGCTGACACCAATAAATACTAGGGATCCTTTAGGCTGTAAGTACCTGCAGTGGCCCAATTGTTGCAGCTTTTGTCTGGAGGACTGTAGATAAAATGTCTGAGAGTGGAAACAGCGTGGGACCCCACCAGGATGTAGCGTCCGAATGCTCTGCAGTCCACCACCCGAATGTTAAGAGGAGGATGGAGAAGCTCATTTTCTGGCAGGTCCTGCGGTAACAAAATGTCAACATCAAGCTCAATGACTATACATGATGCAGGGTTCCAAAAGCAATGAATAATACTTTAGAAAACAATTAAATTACATGAGAAGGCAATAAGTGAGAAGGTGACAAGTATTGATAAAACAAAAATGTTTGCAGAAAACACATTCCAATACATTAGAAGAGAGAAAAAAAGGCATAAACAGGTGTAAATCTGAAATTGTCCACTCAAATCAAAAGCTGTGGATATGAAAATCAGTTTGAAGGTTTGTAAGGTCTCAGCAGTTCCACAAAAATAATGTGTAATCACCTCTACGTTTCAGTTTGGGTCAAGGAACATCTAAAAGCATCCAGTCGACTGGATGCTTTTAGATGGTTTCCATATGAAACATGATTGTGTAAAAATCCTGCCAATAAAATAGGGACAAGTACATTAAGAGCCTTAAAAGTCAATAATAAAATTTTGAAATAAGTCCTGTAACTGATAGGAAACAAGTGGAAGGAGACCAACACAGGAGTTACATAATTCAATTTCATGTTTCATATGAAAACTCTCTGCAATAACTACAGAGAATGTATAAGGTTCTTTTCAAAGAACCTTATACATAGAACTACAATTGGCTGTGATAAAGGAGGGAGGGATTAACCTTTGCTAAAACAGAAACGGCTTAAACCAAACAAACTTACCACTTCAAACCATTTGACCAGGGTGCTGAAGTTGGGATTCTTCTTGTAGTTCTGAATGAGGGCAGACTGAACTCCTCGACCTGCACACTCAATGTCCACCCGGGGTCGATCAACTTGGGCCAAATTGATCCTTTTCAGGTCCCTTAATCCCCAGAATAATACCTGAATTGGGAAAAAAAGAAGAGTGAGACGGAGGTAACCTGTAAAGCTCAAAACACAAAGTAGGAGGAATAGCTCACCTCTATGCGGTAGCGACTCAGGACGGGACGTATGCCCAGGGGAACAGGGAGGATGGGTCCACGCTCCGAGTCCGTCGGCCCTTCAAGGGGAGGAAGATCAGCCCTGCCTCCTTGACCAACCTAATGTGAGTTGAAAGGTCAGATTTCAAGATTTTTTTTTTTTTTTTTGCCCGAGGGGCCACTTTTAAGCATAACTGATGAAATTAAAAGAACAATCCTGGAACCACCAGCAATTTAAGTCTACTATTAACAATGCTCTACTATTTTTGATACAAAGTGTTCAAATGTTCAGTTAGAGTTATTCTCGCTACGTGTCATTTTGCTGCTACTTGCTACGTAACCCCCCAAAATAATGGAAGTGTTATATTTGTTTAAGACTGTATGTATGCACCCAATTCTTGTTTTTACGTTCATTGTACATGTATGTCTTATGCTATCGTACTCCTGAAAAAGAATCACAGTTAAAAGTCCTACATTATTAGTTTTTTCCAAAATTCTATCTTAAAAACAATCAAGAAGTGTGAAGAAGTGAAAGTGAAAGGATATACAACACTGAAATAATTAGGAGAGCAAGATAAATTGAAATGGAAAAAACAAAAACAAAGGGAGTTTAAAGAGGACCTTTATTTGAGGAACAGCAAAGTCATGGACAGCGATTAGAGCTCGCCTGATCTCCTCTGCATCAAAAGGTATCTGTAAGAGGTAGTAGTCAAAAGACAAAAGGCTTGATTTAAGGGGAAAATAGTCATAGTGATGAGGATGGAAGAAAGTTAAGGAAGGATTTTTACAACAAAAATGGAAAAGGAATCTTATCAAATTTCTAAAATGAAAATCTGTGATCTCACAAGTAGCATCTTTAAGCAGCATGGTTCACTGTGTTTCCTCTGTTACCTGCAGTAGCTCGAAAGCAGCCAGCAGCTCTCCTGCAATGCTGTTCCCTCTGTATATCTGGTAATACTCCAGCTGTGGGGGGAACCTCGGTGGTCCGTAAGGCTCGTCACGCATCTTAATAATGGGCTTTGCAAACGTCCGACCTATAAACTCTGCCTTACCCTGTGCACCACATTGTGTGACATAACAGTGAAGAAAAGTTGAGGGGATCAGGGAAGGGGATTAGACACAGGTCTGGGTGCAGTTACCAATATCAGCCACTTGGTGTCACTATTTAGCCAAAGTGGTGCAATGCTGGAATATTGTTCAGTTACTGATAGTACAACTTGTAGTAGATTTACATAATCATGATTAAATATTTACAATATGAGTGATACATAAGTTATAACATGAGTACTCTATTTAGCAAAAATAAGTGAGAACATAAATGTAAAATATGCAGAAAAAAAACAAGGGTGGACAGACAGAAGGAATGAGGGATGGAAAAGCAGAGATTTTAGTTTGAACGGCTACAATCTTCAGCTATTTTCATTGTTTCACAGGTATATATATATTTTTATAGCTTAGCATCAAATCAAAGGATCTTACCACAGTGTCTTGGTCATAGAACTCAACAACAATGATCGGAGGGTCGTCTCTGAGCTCAGTAGCCTCTCCGAACAGCTCGACATCATCAAACACCAGCAGTTGGTCCCACGTGGGGCAGAGCGTCTCATTTAGAACCTGCGGCACACACCAGCCCGGTTTGCACGTGAATCGATACAAAAACTCACACAGAAGTTAAGACCGCTGTTACCTCAGTAACCTGGCTTTGTGAGGAGAAGAAAACCCGAGCGAAGGGGTCTGAAAGCCCACTGCTGTCAGCCGCAAACAGACTGCGGGCCTGGTACATGTGAGCTCGGAGCTGAAACACCTGCTTCACTGGTGAAAACAATAAACACGGAGCTTTTACTTTTTATTCCGACACATTTTTTTCTGCATCAAGAAATTGATCCTCTCTTTAAAAGTTGGTTGCTAAACTATTCAAAGACAACAGATGTGATGAAAGTTTAAAAACAGCTTAGCAGAGCTCACAGTTTTCCATTTTCACTAATTACAGACTACTTACTGTCGTAGACGAGGGTGACTGGAGGAAGCCCGTGGCCCATTTTGGTGGCTCTGATCTCTTCGAAACCATTTGGGAGACCATGTAGGAAGTTCTTCCGGCTCTTGTTGAGGCCGAGCCACAGATATAACTCCAGCTTAGCCTGGACTGTCCAGCCAGCAGGGCCAAACCCCTTTTTACCAGGCAGCTGTGGGGAGAGGTTATAACAATGAATGTTACTAATGTGAAGTCACTAAAACCTAAAGCCCCCACAAGAAAACTACTGCTGTCAGTAACCAATTTTGCAAGATTTTATGCAAGCTTTTAAAAATCTTCATATTTTTCAATATATTCTGTCTCTTTTGTTATTTAAGTGATTTCACCACTCTTCATAGGAGAATGTGTGGGAGTTCATTTAGTTTGGTTGGATGCCAAAAATGAAGAGTCCTATAATGTTGTGTTAACTCCTCCAAATAACTTTTTTAAATTGTTACTGAATAGCTCCTTTTTCCTAATCTGACAGTAAAGCCTTTTAGCCAGTAGGTATTTGGCTTGCATAGAAATTCATAATTCAGCTATGCTTAAAAGCCAGGTAAATTCCAGAAAACCAAGCATTTTAAATAAGCTCTACCAATTCTGCCAAGAAGAGTGAATTAATATCCTGTCAAAATCCTGCCAAAAGCCTTTTATTTATGGCTGCAGAAAGCAGATGGTTGAGTTCTGGCTTGCTAGGAAACAATTAACTAAACATCTGAGGGGCTGTACACATTTGAGTCTGTATGTCTAATATTATGACTCTGAGGTAATTCACAGAAAATACTAACTTTTGCTTATTTCTTTAAGTGTATTACAAACACTAATGTTATTTGTTGCATAGCATCATCAAATGCCCAAATAATCAATTATTCATTGCCATGATGCCTTCATGTTAACCTGTGATCAGATCTTTAATAAGTTAAGAAAGGAGGGTATGGGTGGTGGTACCTTGAGGAAGACTGCTTTGACTTTTCCACAGTCTTTGCCAGTTTCTTCATCCACCACAGAGTACAGAATGTCTTTGGAAGGAATTCGGGCATAGGCGATGCGCTTGTTGTTACTCATCATCCAGATGAAAACATCTGGGATGCTGTGCTGAGGCTGGAAATAATTTAAAGAAAGGAAACTTCAAACTGTCTTGAGTTATTTCCTCACTCGTGATCTATTACAGAGTATCAAGGATTACAGAGAACTGAGTTTCTACCTCGTCGGCAAGGAAACGGAGCCTCTGCAGGAAGTTCTGCGCCAGCTTGAGTTTTTCTTTGACCGTGTTCTTTTTCACTTGTGTGCGAATCTGTTTGGCCTGCTGTCCCATGCTGTCCTGCAGCAGTAAAACGTGATAGCAATGTTTAATGATAAAAAAAAGACCTTTTTATGTAATTTTTCTCCCACATTTTGAGCCTAATGCACACTGAAAATTCAGTGCGATCCTGTAGATGCATGAGGATGACCTACAAGAAATACATTTCTGTTTCATTTACTTGGTACTGCAGTAAGATTAGAAGCTACCGATGCGTTAATTCACTGAAGCTCCCTCCTGTGCTCAAGAGGAATAAATCTTACCATCTCTCTCATGCATGACTTGAGCCGTTCTCGATCAAGCTTAGTTCTGCCTGCCAGGTTCACATCTTTGTTGGCAAGTGTCACATACCGACTGCACCAAAAACAAAAAAACAAAACAAAAAAAACACACACACACACACAGAGAAACATATATTCATAACATATTGGTGTCAGGTTCTCACTGAGAGCATTGTACTGAATACTAACTGAATTTAAAAAAACACAATCAGATCATTAAGTGGAAGAGAAAAAAAAAAAACACTGATGAAATCTGCAGACTGTTTTCAGTGTGAAACCCTTAATGAATGAGTTTGTCTGCTGGAGGAAGATTCTCCAGAGGCAGATAACTGCCTTTTTATGGGGAGATATGTTTTTAACATAGCATGAAAACTAAACTAGCCCATTTTGGTGCAGCCTAAAACAATCATAACATTTCCTCTGCAATCACTGCTGGGAGAAGCTTTCTATAGGGGGCTTACTTACTACTATTGACAATTCTGGTTCTGATTCAAGATGAAGGTAAATTTTTGCAGCAGAGCTGATTACCTGCAGCCAATGCTGAGCTCCTCCAGAACTCCCCTGAGTCTGCGCTCCGGAAAGGCCTTCTCTGTCTTAATGACCTCTTGAACATCATTTAAGCCCTCTTCCTGGTGGAGCACACAAGGAAATAGAGTCAAACAAATACTACTACAATACCTGATGTTTACTAAATGCATTACATTATTATTATTACGCAGACATATAATAACCGTAACACAAACATGGTCAGATTTATATACTAATATATAATGGATATGCATAGGCCCTCACTAATATTTCGTTAAATGTACCATCTGGCATAATTCTTACATAATATTTGACGACACTTCAAAGCAACAAAGTCATAGTTTATTTTAAAAATCAATAGATTTTGTGGTAAAGGACATTGCAGAGATTTAATGCCACAATTTGATTTGAGTTGAGACTGAAGAACTTGGAATTATGGTTCCTATGTTTTAGTATCATTATTTCACCCGCTTTGTGTAAAACAGTCCCTCAGCATGATCTTACCACCACCATGCTTTTAAAGCTTGTAAAGTGTTCTTAGTTTGAAAAGCTCAAATGAATCCTCCAAAAGTTGTTCTTGTTATTACACCTGAAAACCTCAATTTTGGTTTTGTTTGGCTATAAAACCTGTGTGGATTATAGAAAAGCCACAATAAATTCAAAGTTGGACGTACAGTTTTTGCTTTTAGAAATAAATGAGGCTGTATGCCGTATTTTCAGTCCAATCTGGGGAAAAAAAAAATCAACTTCATCAGTAAAAGGCAAGATAATTATGAGATTAATGGCCCTGAGGATCACAGGTATAAATTAGTCACAGAGAAAGAGTTAAACTCACCAACTTGTCTGCAATCTTATCCATCATGTTTGAATTATAAAGCCGTCTCCTCTGATCCTGCCACCAGCTCTTGATGTAGACACATGGCTTCTTTTCAAAGTAGGGTAGATGGAAGTAGTTTCTGTAAAGTTTGGGAAATTAATTTTAAAGTTAAAATTATTATTTTTTAAATTATTTTTCTTTTTAAGTTCCTTCCGGCTTTAGCAACCTCAGACCTGTCTGTGATGAAAGGCTTCATGGGAGGAGTCGAGGAGACTGAGGTGAGGTCCGCATCTTCATCAGCCTCATCCTCGCTGGAGTTTTGGATCAGCTCATTTTCCTCTTCCTGATCCTCTCCTTCCTTCTTTTTCTTCTTCACAGAGGAGGATTTGCTCACACCGTCAATGTGGTTGCCATAATTTCCTGTCGGCAGAGAGTTTCAGGTGATTGAACACGGTTACGGTAGCTATTGATTTTGTGTGAAGACCAAGAGCAGTGTCAAATACCTATTGTGATTTCAAAACTTATCGGTTTGTCACCAATCTTCCTGTCGATCATAGTAGCCTCCAGAAACGAACCAAACAAGAAGAACTCCTCCATTTTCCCTGTGGCACTCTGATGGAAAAATAAGGCTAATAAGCATTTCTATTCTAGAGGAAGGTGAAAAAAAAAACAGTGATGCTGGTTGCTTAGCACCCTTACAAGTATCCACTGAAAAGCAAAGGAGTCTTTTCACCTCTGAGATGTTGGAGACAGGCTCCACCTGAACGTCGGTTGAGCAGATGATTTCAGGCGATGTAGTGTCCAGGATCTCCACGGCTACGGAGATAAGGAGGCGTGCTCTGAAGGACACACCTTCGCCGAGCCCGTCATTTAGGTCCTGGTGCTCGTCCATCAGAGTGTACTGACGAGTGGAGCCGTACATGTTGACCCAGGCTGGACCCAGGGTGGGCAAGAAGCCTGAGGAAGTTTACATTAAAATGAAAAGATTTAAGCTGATCTCAGGAGACAGTGAGATCTACATTCAGTGCATTCAGTTCAAAATCCTTTTATCCAAACTAAAAGTGTGTCATAGGAAAAACAGAGCTTTTTTGACATGTTTATGCATGAATTCCAACCATAGCTAATCACATAGTAAGGAATTATAATGAAATTACTCTGTTTGTTTTGATTATGAGTGGAATTTGAGATATTTCTCAGAAAAATAATGAAAGTCATAAACAGCATAATCATATTGACATTTAACATGTTGTTTTAACTCTTATATTCTGACTATATAATAGTATAATATTTGGTGCCTTGCAAAACTTTGGATGTCCTGATTTGGATGCAAAACAGGGCAGAGGAAATGTTCACCTACATGCTCAGGGTAAACAAGAGTTCAATAAAAATAAGATCCAGGAAAACTTATTTTCCTGGAACTGATAGTTGAGTAATATAACAGGAACCTCTAAAATGTTTGTGGTGGAACTGAATTTTACTTAGGGGTCTCTGGGTAAAGGGGGGCAAATACAATTGCACACAACACTTTTCAGATTTTACTAGTAAAATAAATTTTGAAAAAAAAATCTACTATTTTCCTTCCACTTTCCCTTTTGCCGAGCTGTGCATGTGCAAATTCTTATCAGTTTGGATGCCTTTAGCGATCTTTGCGGAACAGGGCTTGACCTACAAACCACCACATGCTATAAAACTGTGGAAAAATAATGAACATACTCCATCAGCAATCATTTCTAATAAGACAATCGACTTCCATGCTGCCTCTTGTGTCTTGACTGATACCTTTATCACCATCGTTTGAGATCTTCCGTAGATCGATGAAGTGGGTTCCTATGGCAACGTCATTGACCTTATCCGAGTCTCTAATCTGCACCTTGATCCTCTTGCAAAGAGGAGGGAACAGCTCTGTGAAGATGACTTGCTCGTTCCAGATTGGTTCATAGCTGCTCTTCTGGACCGAAGTCTTTCCCTGGAGACATAGAGGAGCATCTTAACACTCAACTCACAGACCGGGGGAAATACACACACAGCTGATCACAATATCACAATACAGTACTCTATGGTGTAATCTATTTTATGTTTCTGGAGGGAACCAAGTCAGCAGCTGATTCTAAGAAAATCACATTTGAGCTTTTCAGATAGCAAAACTGTGAAAACATTTTAGACTGGTTTTCTGAGACAGAAAAAAAATGGATTCAAAAATATTAATTATTTTTATTGCTTCACAATAAGGTGAAAGCAATATAAGATAATCCTAAAATATGATTAAATCATTTAGTGGTCAACCATACTTCAGCTTTTGGGAAGCTGTAAATCTAAACCACATCTGTATGCTTTGCCAGACCTACAGAGTTCTTCACTGCAAATGTTCCCCATGGAGTCATTAAAAAAAAAAATAATAAAGCACTTAAAAAAAGAGAGAAGGAGAAGAAATAAAGATAACCTTTTGCCCAGAAAATTGCACTTGAACATAGGGGTCGACAAGGTCTCTGTTCTCTCCGATAAAGGCCTTTTTCACATTTGCCATGATGCTGGTGTTCATTTTAGGAAGTCCCTCAGCTCTGTGGATCTTCACATAAAATCTTGCCCATTGCCTCTCTGCTGGGATGCCTTCTGGGAGGAGCAGATTTCTGCAGCACAAGCAGAGGCAGAAAAACATATTCAGAGAGCTGACCGCGGAGCACGATTGCATCTATTGTTAAGTTTTCACTCAGAAATTGAAATCTTATAAACTTGAGGCATTCGCAGAGACTGGGTGATTATTGATAAGACAGATTTAGTTTGTGCTTGGAGGGAAATCTTTCAACTATATTCAGTCTTATGAAATATTAGCATAAGTATGGATGCTGCATCTCATCTTGCTTCTCTGTTTGCAGTTGCATTTTATGTGCAGAATATCAATTTGTTATGAAAATATTTGGAGATACTAGTTCATTTTGAGGGGAAATGATACACAGATGTATATAATACATTAATATAAATGAATGATTTTGCATATGCAGCTGACTGCAGCAAGCAGGAGTTTTGATCTTGTGATGAAATCTAGTTTCAAGAGAAAGAAACAACATATCACCCTTCTATGTCGTCCTCATCCGTCTCATTGGCTTTATGCGGCGTCTTGATGTTATCACCTTTCCCGACAACTGCAATGTCACACTTTACATATCCTTTGCACCCCGCTGTGATGTCATCAGGGTCAGACAGGATGGCCCATTTGTGGTAGAACTGGTGTTCTGTGGCAGATGTCAATAGATGCATTTTTAAACCAGCAAAAATGACAAAACATAAAATTCAAAGCAGTGCATTCTTCTTGTCAAACAAGTGTTTTTATAAACTCTTTTGCATACTGACAGCCAGAGTCATCAGCTGCTTCTTACTGGAGATGAAAATGTTAGCTTACCAGGCTGAGAGTAAACCGTCCCAACGTCCATCTTAAAGGTTCCCACCAACGTCCCGCTTCTTAGAAGGTTTTTAGAATGAATAACCTAAGTAGGCACAGAGGAAAGTGAACTAAAAACACAATTATGGAACTGATTTTCACAAGAAAAATTGGATTTTTAAATTTCTTTCTTTTTTTTTTTTAATTCGCACAAAGGTTGGATGAGAAAGAGTTTCTTTAAATATTATGGATTACTAACCGAGAGCTTGATGATCTTGTCAAACATGACGTCTGGTGGGACGTGGAAATCAAAGACAAAATACTGCAGGGAGTAGAGAAACAGGGGTTTTCCATTAAATTTGCAATGTATTTACTCCTGCCTCTAACATCAACAGTACAACATCACACTTTTTCTCTGCTTGGCTCAGATTGGGATGGGCTCGAGAGCCCCTCTGCAATCCTGAGTAGGTACAGGAGCGAATACAGAAAACAGATGATTGATAGTTCTGAGTGCAGACTGTGATTGTTCACAGAGAGCTGCAGAATTCACAACAAGTATCAAAACTTTTCAGTCAAGAACAAAGGGGATTATCATGTCATCTTCACAGGAAATGAGCTTGTTTGAAGTGCAGGGTTCAGTATGCAGGTAAAGGTATGGCCTTGGAAAATATGTGGCAGCAAGGTTACATAGCAGCTAATGTTTATTAGCTGCTATGTAAAAATAAACAGCAAAAATAAACGGAACGAGAAGCTTATTAAAGGCAGGGTCAGTGCAGACAGAGAGTCTGGAGGGACTGATGGAGAGAAGGAAAGCAGGAGTCATAGAGGGATGGAGGGATGAGGTCTGGACTTTGACTAGGCCCTCAGTCTGGAAACTTGTACCACAGAATGACACAAATGATTTTAAAAAATCAATTAAGTTTAGTTGATTTTTATGTTATAAGGCTGAACATTACATGTTTTTCATTTTCCATAAATATGGAAGGATTCAAGAAAATAGCTTTAACTCTTCTGATGAGTTTGACATCTTTTCTTGTCATATTGAATTTTTCAAGGCCTTTCTATTTTTTATGTGCAGTCAGTGGATGACTGCACATGAGAAATTTTGGATTTTACTATATGTTAGTTTACATGAGCTTCTAGTGTAAGAAGATAATAAAGATAAGGGGGTATGTTGCTTTAAATAACTGAAGCAGTCAGCACACATGCTTTTCTAATATTAAAAATGCATAGAAGCATCAACAGACTCTTGCTTTTGCGCATGTTGATTCTAAGGTAAGATTTCCTTGATAGAAATAAATGACAGTAAAGTCTTAGTATAAAAATCAAATCTTGGATAATTTAAATCTCAAATTTAACAGACCCCTAAATAATTTTTAGTAAGAAAACCTGTCAATTATCAAAGTAAAATTGCTTAACTTAGATGGAAAATGAAAAAAAAAGAGAAAGGTAAAAGAAATCCCTTGATTTTCACAATATAAGCTGTGAAAACATAAGTTAATCTACTTGATATACTTAAGTCAATCTTAATGGTAAGGACTCTAAAGACAGTTATTTATTTTAAAAGCATTGCTTTCTAACACAAAATGAAGCAATTAATTTGAGCCATTATTGCCTAAAACATATAGCTTCACTGCTGAAAATTAGGCAATAATATCAATCAATTCTACATGATATTTTTGCCACAAAAAACAAACAACAACAAAAAAACATATCTCTGCAAAAAGCATAAGCCACAGCAATCTCATAGTGAGCACTGGAAACATGAGGTGCTTCCATTTCAACTTCTTTGGCTTCAAGTTTTTCTCTCAGTGGGGATTTTCAGTCAGACTTTGGGAATCGATAACAGACAAACTGTCACTTTCACTCCCTGCAGGGCACAACAAAGAGTCTGGGCTCTGGTACATTCTCCTCTACCCTGACTAATCCTTCCCAGATCCAGCAGAGATTCTCCATCATCACGGGGGGTTGAGCACTCTACACTTCAGCATAATCAATATTTTTTGAGTCCAATCTCAAGCTCAAAGCTAAACTAATCCCTTGTGTTCCTCAGCCTTATCGTAATGTAAAGCAAGATGGTTTATGTGGATGTGTCAGATCACACTTTTTCATGAAGCACAATAAATGGAAAAACAATCGAGGTCTCACCTCATTATAGTACGGACAATTGGTGGACTCCTTCATGGATGTATATTTCTTGTCATCGCCAACTTCCACACACACCACAGGATCCATGTTCAGGCCTATTAGCTGCCGAGCCTCAATCACTGTGATGCTGATCTGATGGGAGAGATTATCAGATCTGGTTACCTAAACAGTACTATTTTCTTTAATAATCCAAATGATCTTCAGTACTTGTAATTGGAAATTTTGCTTTTTTAAGTAAGTCAGATATTTTTGCAGAATTCAGTGATCGGAACTAGTTTAATCGGGTGGTAAATGTTTCTTTGGTTTGCAGTTAAGTTAAGTGTTTTATATAATTGTAAACTTCTGGAGTTATGTAGATATAAGTGATAGTTTGTGCTGAAACAATTCACTGTTGTTTTGGAGTAAACCTTATAAATTCCTGTCTTTTAAGTAGTGCTTGTTGCACTTGATCCTTTGGTCTATTGACTTAAGGAAAGAAATAAATTAAAACCAAAGAGCAAACATTCACTACATTCTTCTGCTTTGTATTCATGGCTGTCTTTGTCATTTTGGTATGTTTTTTGTTTTGTTTAGTGTGACCTTATTTGGCTTTTGATGTGCAAAGAGCGAGAAATTCTCAAAGGAATTCACTCTGAGAAAAGGTGCTGCTGTTTTATTTTTCTTTTTAAAGAAAGAAGGTGGAATCACACACATACACACATTCACACACACAGAGATCAAGGCATGACATCATAACCACTGACAAGTGAAAATAATAACACTGATTAACTTTTCCTCAGCAAGTGGAGTTCATGCTATGATTGATCTTGGACTGTTAGGTAGGTGGTTTGGATTTTATGCCTTTATAAATGCTTTAATAAATAAGTTATATCGCTGAGTTAAAAAAAAAACAACAAAAAAAAAACACTCAGAATATCAAAATGAATGATTTTCATTAGCATCTTTTTTTTTTAGAATGTACCTGAAATCACACTGCATGCTCATTTTATAAAGATTTGCTTAAGCATAGAAAAGAACAGAAATCCAGATGCAATTTGAGAAAATTAACCAGAAAAAGACCCAAGAAGCTGCATACAAACACACCTGATAATCAACGGGCCTCCCGGAGCTCGGTTCCATCTTGATATCTGGCTTTGACCTGAAAGAAAAAGAAACAAAGACATTTTTAAACATTTTAACTGACTAACATTTTCCTTCCTTCGATGTGTAATTGTGCAGAATCAGTTCATTAATCTTAAATCTGCAGAAATGGCAAAAATAATAACTGAGTTTTCAGTTGTCACAAAGTTTCTCTGTTCATAAACGACTTCAATTGAAAACATTTTGATGAAAACAAAAGGCTTTACTTCAAGCAATAAAAAGCAGATATGGAAAAACAACTAATGCGTACTATAATTGGCTGTTTTTCACTGCTTTGACTTCAGAGAAGACGGCTGCAGCAATGCACAGGAAAGAAGGCTGCGTTTAAAGTAACACATTGCAAAGGGTTCCCCTTGTTTCAAGTTTTTCCCTTTTCAATTAAGCAGTTCTTCTACACACCCAATCTCAGACATAATTGCAACAGCACACTACAAAAGAAGCCATGTTTAATAACTTCCCTGCTGTACATTTAAGTGAGCTTATGTGTGTGTGTGTGTGTGTGTGTGGGACTGCTTCAGACCTTTTATTGGAAACATTAGTTGTGACAGCAGTCACTGAGGCCAAAGATATGGTGTCCGGCTCCAGCATTCCAGCAAGACGCATGGCTTTCTTATCCAGATCTTCCATTTCCAGGATGGCTGGTTCATCTGTTTGTGTCATGTAGTGCAACGATCAAACATCAAAAGCATTTTTAAGAGAGATTCTAATTCACGCTATGAATAACGGTGTGTGTTTTACCTCCTCTTTTATGGTCGTCTTTTGAGCTTTTTGCCTTGCCAAGTTTCATGGCTGAGAAAACTCCTCTCCCTGCTCTGTTGCAGAGAATCAAAGAAAAGAGTCATGAAAACGTCTACCTGAGGACGTGATCTGTCCTCAGGTAAACCTGTTTCACATCACACTCAATCAGTTAGTGGACAATTCAGTGGATAAACTTGATAAATGAAGGAAAAAATAAATGAGTTCCTTTATGCACGTCTTTGAAGGTTGGTTGGACATTATGGTCAGGTTGCAATAATTCAGCAGATAAAACAAATACTCCAAAATCCCCAATCACAAAACAAGAGTATCTGGTGTCCTCACGATATTATCTGGATCATATATCACCACAGCAACAAAGACCATGTGATGTCATTGAGAGGGTGACAAATGAGGAGCCTTAATAATTAAAAACGTGGGAAACCGTCCAGTTTGCTTCGGATATGGATACATGTCAGGAAATTAATGAACAGGGTTTCCATTTGTTTCACTCGAGCTTTCCGAGTCAAGTGTGTCAGAGTTCAGCCAAGTTACATTAGATATGATTCCAATGAAATTCTTAAATTGTTATTGCATGGTGTTTTAAAGTACTTTACAATAAAAACTAAGTGAGTACAATTCCGTTAGATTAGCTTCAAGGGAAAGTGCTTACATATCTTTAGACTGGAGAACAGAAGTAAAATTCATTATTTAAAATATCCAGATTATTTTTATATTTATTATTTTATAGAAAATCAAAGTTTACATTTACATCTCACAGGTTTCTCACGTGAAATCATTTCCTATTGAAACAAAATGAAAAAAAAGGACAAATTTTGGTGTAATTTAAACAAATGTCAGCGAGGAAGATTGATTTAAAAGTATGATTGTACAAAATGCCAATTATTCAGTAAAAACAGAAACCACTTCCAACATTATAGTTTAATATTTCATTTAAAAATGAAAAATTTGCTTAGTGAATTAATATTTTGAATTTAAGTAATTAAATCAATTTCCTTGTATTTGTTCAGATAAACCTGCAAGTAGAAAGGAGGCAAACATTGTTTTTCATACATACCACATCAAAGACAACACTGATCCCATTCAACTCCACAAACAGGTCACAGCAAATCCACCCAGAGGTTTACTTTGAACTAAGTTTCCTTACAGGAATGCATACAAGAAAGACTGGTGTAATAATCAAAGGCGAAGCTGGTAGATGCTGTAAGAGTTGCAGATATCTGTGAATGCTGCAGGGCTGGGAGGAGAGGTGCAGAGGGGAGCAGGGAATGGTGGGAGGTGCAAGGAGATAAGGGGGTATTGTATTTACCTTTAAAAATCAACTTTGTTTAGTCCAGAAAAAATCACCACAACATGCTTAAAATTAGAGCGGTTTTTTTTTTAACCTTTCGAAAGCATTAATTGGAAATTGTTTATCTTTATATGCTTCATTTTAGCTTTAAGTTCTACAAAGTGCTCCATAGTGCATTTATATTTACCTAACCTATCAAAGTAATGCTTTGTTTAATTGTGACTTTACTCACACCGAGGGGAATACACGTGATTTAAAGTTTTGTTTAAAAAAATGTTGACGATGGAAGACTTTATTACATGTTCACGGGTCTCATGACCGAATTAAACTAGTGTGATGTTAAGTCTTTATTTCTTATTTTGCTTATGGACTTTTGTCGTCACTCTGAAGGTTATTTGCCAGAGAAACTTCTTTGCACCTGTGAGGAATAGATAAACAGAGTAGTCCCACAATACCTTGCCAAGGAGCCAATTTTTCACAGTCTGTTTTATAAACGTTTTTGCTAATTTCCTGTCCTTGGGTGTGAAACATGCGTCGACTCTGTCTGGCAGAGCTTCTTACTTCAATGTGGATGTCTGTTTTACAGTTTTTTTGCTCTCACATGCCAAGATGCTTCTCACCTTTTCTCTACTGTTGGGGTAAATTCACTTTTCCACAACAGTTATCAAATTTCCTACCAGTCAGTGGATGACTGCACTTCTGAAAAACTGCTAAATAAAAATCAGCAGAAACCAGGATAATGTCTGAAACCAAAACTATGTTGATGTATGCAACAGTACTGAGCTTTTTTCAGAAGACTAACAGCTCAATTAAAATGACACGAATTAAAGAAAATGCATTCAATTGTTCATAAAAAGAAAAAAAAAATTCTTTCAGTATCTATTTTTTCAAGTAGAGTTTGGGAAAATTCACAGTTGAAAATCGATGCCTCTGATCATTGCAAGGGTAAATAAAACAAAGAAGGATCAAGGGTCACTTGAGTCAAGAAACAGCTCCAGAATAGAGAGGATCCCTCTTTCCCCTGAAGACAAAAATGTTCTCATATACTAGTATAAAAAAGTGCTGTTTTTTTTTTTTTTTTTTGCAAATAACAATCTGCAAAGTGTGACATGCATTTATTTCCAGCCCCTCAGTACTTTGTAGCACCGCCTCTCATTGCAATTACAGCTGCAGGTCCTTTGGGCTGCTAGTCTTTAAAATGGCTTTCTTCCTGAATTGCCTGTTTGTATTTGGCTCCATCCAACTTCCACCTGCCAGCAGCTCTAACCAGATTTCCTGTCCCTGCTGAAGAAAACCATACCTGCAGCACAATTGCACTGCTTAGCAGTCGCTGAATTTTGTCGATTGTCTGGAACAAAAACGTTAAATAGTTAGATGTTGATTTCTAGTGTGCAACTAATGCTTGTTTTGTAAAGATATTCTCAAGCTCCACCAGAAGTACTAAAAACTATTTGTCTAGTTGTCTGAATGATAGTCTTAAACTTGCCCACAACTTTTGTTCAGTAATTTCCTCTAACAATTGCCTGAATTAACTACATAGCAGTTCTATTTAAATTGGCACTTTATTATGCACATGTGAACTCTGTTTAGTCTGTTTACTTCTGAAGGCCATTAGCAGGTTGAGTAGGATTTTATTCAAGCGTATCAGGGAAAAGTGGGACTAAGCGCCGATGGAAACTTTTGATGCAGAGTTTTGAATGAATCTCTGTTCTCCCTTGTTTTAAAGTCAAATATAAAAGCCAGAAGCATCATTATTATGTTACCTCCAGCAACTGTACTTGAGTCATAATTCATCCCCAGTCTAACTGACAAAAACTTTAGGAAAAAATGACTTTTCTAAAAAAAAAATCTGTCAACAATTTATTGGCTTTTGCAACATGTCAATGTAAAACCAGTCTCAGCACTTATTTAATGACATTGCCACAGTTTTCATTTATACCAAGCCCAAAGCAAGGAGGATTTTGAAGAGATTGATAGTATATAAGCAAAAAAGGACAAAGGGTTAAAGACACACATTGACTGATAGCAGAGAATGTAAGACTAACTATTTCTGTGCTTCTGAATCATTATTTGTATTGCCACAAAGGATTTCCCAATGTGAGGAGAACTAACATCAAATATTCAATGCTGACCTTTTCAGAAGAAGACTCTAAATGTACCAGAGCAAACAAAGAGACCAGAAGTCTAAAGCAAAGAAGAGAGATTTTAAGTAAACAAAGAGAAACCGATGCAGCTCTCATTTTCTTGTACTACAAAGTGAAGGAAGGGTAAATGCAGGAGGAAACATCAAATACAAGGAAGTTCAGTAGGAGAATGTTGGTGTGAAATAATAAAAAAAGAAGTTTGTTTTTCCTTTTACTGAAAAAAAAACATACAAAAAATTATATCTGCACTATACAAATGATAATCTAAGGAATTCAGAGTTAAATGTGGATAAAAAAGTAAAAAAAAAAAAAAAACAAAAAAAAAAAACATGTCAAATATGTTTCAACTCTGTCTTTCCTGTTCATGAACACAGCAAATTCTGTTATTATAGACACTCGTCAACCTCCCACTTTTCTCTGTTTGTTTTGAATTCATACTGCAACACGCTCAGTTACTCTTGGAGAAAAACACAACAAAACTTTTAAATATTGCAGTTTCTTGTGCAGGCACATTAAAAATGATTCCCTCAACACCCTAAAAGACATAACAAAACATCCCAATGTTGTTTTTCCTTCTGACATTCATTATGAGCCACCTTAGCAACACTGTTTCTAAGATCCAACTGGGACTGTTAAAGATCAGTTATAGAACAACACACGCGTTAAAGACATAACTGGATTTAAAATTTCATAAGACAATGTTAATTTCTTCATGGTTGGACGTGAAAAGCCTTTTTCGATATGCCAACATCCGTGGCAATATGAGAAACAATGTGACTGCAGCTCTGTAGCCTCATATTTGTTTTATATGTCTAGAGGTTCATAAAATTCATTCCACCTTGTACAAGAAGGAAGAATTTTATCTCAGACATCAGTTTAGGATTTAAGGAACTCAAAAGCAAAGACGTAAAAACCGAACACATAAGTTGTGTCCTTGAAAATCCACAAAGGCACAGAGAAAGAACCCAACTTGGAGGACTTCGTCTGCCTTATACCTGACAGTAAATGAAAAATAAATTAAGAAAGAAAAAGAGTATAAAAAAACTGCATTTATTAATAATTCATTGACATGTACCATACGTTCAGCTCCAGGGATCCAGCTGAATGGAGCTCAGTTAAATCCCCCACCACACCTGTTCTCTTTGTCACACTGGAAGGAAATATTCCACTGCTTCAAAGTTTTCATTGAAACAAAGCAGAAAGATATCAGTTATCCATGATAACTTAGTATTAAGATGATAAGTCCCACTAACAAAGATTAAATCCTGCTGAATGCTTTGCTGGCTTTACTTTTTTATCCCAGTCTTAACTGTTTGTCAACTTTTCTTTCTTATAACAGGGTCTTGGCTCATACAGATAAAAGAGACAAACATCAATACCATTTATTATCCTTATGATATTGACATATATTTTTCTAAAGTGCAGAAGTGTTGTGCTTCATTAGCTTATAGGATTATTGATTGATTCTGAATCAGATGATCCTCTCCTGTGATCCAGCTATAAATTTACTCCAATTAGTAGGGCTCAGTTCAATGTTTCTGCAACTTTAATGTGTTCACAAACAAAAAGTCCCCTGAGTCTTCCTGACCTAGATACTGCAAACAACTACAGGAACAGCGAA